CACCACACAAATCAGGGACTTCGGATTAAAATGACAAGCTAAATATATGGTTTAGTTTCACCTTCTAAGCACAGCTAGGATGACTGTAATTGGATAAAATCCATGAGGACAAAGAATAAGAGTAAAATCCAAAGGACAAAGGGGCTTACAGCAGTGAAGAGTCTGAATCTGGACAAAGAAAATGGAGTGCTCACCCAGGCAGAGAGCAGGAATGAAGCAGATCACATATCAGAACCCCAGGAAGTCACTGCCAGCGAAGACCTGAGACACCCCTGAACATGAGGTAAGGGTGACCTGGAAACAGGAGGCTGGGAGCCAGCTGCAGTGGTACACGCATACAATCTTAGTATCTAAGAGGCTGAGGCAGGAGGATCATAAGAACAAACTAACCTAGGCCACCTGGTGAGACCCTATATCTCAAGAAAACAGGAGGATGGATGAGAGAGGTCTTACTTGAATTTATTTTATGTGCATTGGTGTGAAGGTGTCAGATCCCCCGGAACTGGAGTTACAGACAGTTGTGAGCTGCCATGTGGGTGCTGGGAATTGAACCCTGGTCCTCTGGAAGAGCTGGCAGTGCTCTTAACCACTAAGGGGCTAAGCCATGTCTCCAGCCCCAGGGTTAGAGGTCTTAAGCAGAGTAGAGAAGTCTCCATAATTTCTCTTTCCCCCGGCATGACACACCTAATAGTTTACCCACCACTCTCCCTTTGGACCAAAAGAATCTGGACATTAAAAGAAATTCTCCCCAGTGGACTGGAACCAAAAACAACAACCAGGGCCAAGAAGCCAAGTAACACACTGAAATAGTCAGTTAGAACATTAGAAATTAACGGACTGGGACCTTCTCAAGCCCCTGTTCCCGAGTATCACCCAGAAAGCTGGTAGGTAGATTTTACAACGCACACAGGAAATTAGAGACATCCTTTCTGAAGAAGACCTGTCTCAAGGGAAATTGCCTCCAGATACAACATCTGGAGTACTTCAATGAAATGGCTCATTTGCCATCAGGTTAAGACACCATAAAACGGTCTAGAAGACAAGTCCTCTGCTGTACACACACTCCAATCAGCTCCTTTGTACCTTTCTCTTAAATGTGATTGGCTACCAAGGACCAGAGGGAATTTGAGAAGAGTTTCTGGTATAAAAGATGGAATCAACACACACACAAAAAAAAAAGGGGGGGCTTAGAAAAAAACTAGAAAATAAAAGAAATAGAGTTGTCTAAACCACAGCTAACAGGCCCAAAGGGACAAAACATCTAAAGTCAAGAACAAAAGGCTACTGACAGTCGGTGGTAGTGGTGGTGGTGGCAGCAGCAGGTGGCCCATGCCTTTAATCTCAGGAGTCAGAGGCAGGCAGATCTCTGAGTTCAAGGCCAGCTTGGTCTACAAAACAAATTCCAGGACAACCAGGGCTACAACAAAATATCCGTAGCTGTGGAATACCAAAAACATTGCAGGATTTTTTTTTTGATTTTATTTTTATTTTATTATGTATACAACATTCTGCTTCCGTGTATATCAGCACACCAGAAGAGGGCACCAAATCTCATAATGGATGGCTTGTGAGCCACCATGTGGTTGCTGGGAATTGAACTCAGGACCTCTGGAAGAGCAGCTGGTGCTCTTAACCTCTGAGCCATCTCTCCAGGCCCCTGCAGGATTTTTTAAAACTTTAAGTAATACATTTTGTTAACAAAAGTAAGAATTTTTTTCAAAAAGTAGCAGGGAAAAGACAAACATTAAATTGAAAATAGTATGAGATACACATGAAAAGAAAGAGAGGAAATAAGAGAATTTTCCAGAACTTAAGTTCCCATGCTAGAAGTATGAACTCATGCCCAACTCAATGGGAGAAGACACAGCTGCCTCAAGGCACTACATGTGATAGCCCATTGACTAGATAGAAAAAGCGCTACAAAGTTTCCAGTAAAGATAAAGGGACTAGAACAGGACAAAGGATCAACATCCAAAGTGACAGGAGATTTTTTAATAGCAACACCAAGAACCAATGAAGACATTGAAGCCCCTCAGAGGCTGAGGAAAAGCAATGTCCAACTTAGAAGCCTACACCCAACCAAACTATCTGTTAGAGAATAGACAAAAGATCTTTCCAGCCATGAGAAACTAGCTCAACAACAACAAAAGAAGCTAACACGTATGAATCCCTTCTTAGAAAAGAGCGGGGGATATGTGGTTTCCTAAAACAGTTAGCGGGGAGGGGAGGAGGAGAATGGGAGAGAGTTCTCACATGGCAGACTGGAACAGGAGGACGTATCTTCACTATGAAATTGATAGAAATCCCAGGATGTTAACACATTAAGAGGATACATATCTTCAGCAGTAAATGAGGAAACAAGTGAGTGGCATATGCATAGAAAACCTAAACAAATTGGGTAAAAAAAAAAATAGTTATTCGAGGGGCAGTGGTGGCTCACGCCTTTAATCTCAACACTTGGGAAGCCTAGGCAGGCAGATCTCCGTGAGTTTGAGGCCGGCCTGGTCTATAAAGTGAGTTCCAGGACTGTTACACAGAGAAACCCTGTCTCTAAAAACCTGTGTGTGTGTGTGTGTGTGTATTCCCAGAAGACTTAATACACTTTAAGAACATGTTTTAGCTATGAATAACATATGTCACAATAACGTGTAAATGCTCATGTAACCAAAACTGAATCTGTTCAGAAAATGGAGACGGTCAATGCCATATGAGAACCATCTTCATCCTTCAGACAGAAGAGGAAGCATTTGGTTAAAAAAAAAAAAAAAAATGAAGCTGGCCGGGCGTTGGTGGCGCACGCCTTTAATCCCAGCACTCGGGAGGCAGAGGCAGGCAGATCTCTGTGAGTTCGAGGCCAGCCTGGTCTCCAGAGAGAGTGCCAGGACAGGCTCCAAAGCTACAGAGAAACCCTGTCTCAAAAAAAACAAAAACAAAAAAAGAAAAGAAAAGAAAAATGAAGCTAAGTAATCAAGAAATGGAAGTAGAAGATTGGCGTTTAAAAATAAAAAAGAAAATACCAAAAAGAAAGAGTTGAGGTTGAAAGTGGGAGGTAGAAAAGGAGTTAGGAGCCAACTGGAGAATGGTTCTTCTACACACAAGTGGAGCACGCACACACATGCACACACACTCAGACACACACATGTGTGCATATGTGTGCACACGTACACACAGACACATTTTGCTACTATATATACATAACTTTTTTCCTTTTAAATTCTGGAAGACAGCCAGGAAAAGGAACAGTGCCTGAGAGGTGTGGACCATACAATTAGTCAGGAAGACTTGACTCATCACAGGGAAGGGCCAAGTGCAAGAAGAAACCATCCTGGGCCCTCGAGGAAGAGGATGCTGGTCTCCGTTTTCCTGACTTTGAGCAGGTTCATGTGAGAAGGGATATCTGGTAGAAACTGGGAATGCAAGAGACAGATGGAAAGAGACCCCTATCCCATTTCCCGGGGGAGAGAGGAAAGGCTACAGAGATGGTGTTAGCCGTGAGATGAGTGAAGATGGGGAGGAAGGCATGGGTAGCAGATGTTTCCCAGGGATTCAACAGTGTTCTAATGAGGGAACTGATTGGGTGAGGAGGAAGGACAGGCTAGGAGGAGAGAGATTTTGATCCTGGCCATGGCCCCATCCTAAGCTCTGACTTCCCGTTAATTCCAAAATCAGTGTGTGTGTGTGTGTGTGTGTGTGTGTGTGTGTGTGTGTCTGTATGTGTCTGTGTGTGTCTGTGTGTGTCTGTGTGTGTGTCTGTGTGTGTGTGTCTGTGTGTGTGTGTCTGTGTGTCTGTGTGTCTGTATGTGTCTGTGTGTCTGTGTGTCTGTATGTGTGTGTGTGTGTCTGTGTGTGTGTGTGAGTGTGTGTCTGTGTGTGTGTCTGTCTGTCTGTCTTTCTGTGTGTGTCTGTATGTGTGTGCGTGTGTGTGTGTGTCTGTGTGTGTGTGTGTGTCTGTGCGTCTGTATGTGTGTGTCTGTGTCTGTATGTATGTGTCTGTGTCTGTGTGTCTGCGTGTGTGTGTGTCTGTGTGTCTGTATGTGTCTCTGTGTGTGTGTCTCTCTCTTGCGCTCTCTCTCTCTCTGTGTGTGTGTGTGTGGGTGTGTGTGTGTGTGTGTGTGTGTCTGTGTCTGTGTGTCTGCGTGTGTGTGTGTCTGTGTGTCTGTATGTGTCTCTGTGTGTGTGTGTCTCTCTCTTGCGCTCTCTCTCTCTCTGTGTGTGTGTGTGTGTGTCTGTGTGTCTGTGTGTCTGTGTGTCTGTGTGTCTGTATATGTCTGTCTCTCTCTCTCTCTCTCTCTCTCTCTCTCTCTTCCTGCGTGCTGGCGTGTGCGTGGGTGTGTGTGTGTGTGTGGGGGTGCGGGTGTGTGTGCGTGTGTGCGTGTGTAGAAGAGCCATTCCCAATCACAACTCTAAAGTTCAGAGCTCAAAGTTAGGCACCTTTTGGGACTGAACAGGTGGAGTGGTGCTAACAGAAAGTCGAGAACTGTGGCCAGACATAAGACCTGGGATGGACCTTCAAATGCCACATGCTGTATCTTTAATGCAAACTTCCCCTAATTCCAGGAGTTTTTAACCCCAAAATGTCCCTAACTACACCTGCCATGCAGGGCCCTGGAAAAGGACAGTTAAAGATCCTCTGTAGAAGGCCTCACACAGTGGCCATCCCACCTTTTAGACCACCACCACCACACCCCCCCACCCCCTCCACACACAGATGGCATGGAGAACTTCTGGAAGCCTCCTGGAAGACCTTCTGAAGCACAATCAGTTCTCTGCATCTCTTTAAGTGTGGGGGCCCCAGAGGAGGTCCTGGGAGGTCCCTTCAACTCCTCTCCCATCAGCTTAAACATGGAGATCACACAAAGTTTGCATCAACCAGAAAGTCAGCTTTATTAGCCCATCACCAGCAGAGGGGAGGGGAGACAGCTGGGGACAACACTAAGAAAACACGGTCCTGGCTCAGGCCTCCAGGATGTGAGGCTGGCGTGGGTCAGGAGTGAGGCAGATCAGTTCCTGGAACTCTGGCTTTGGCTCTGGCTGAAGCTGGATGAGCCTTGCTCTTTAAGGATGGACCGGGGCTGGCGAGAGGATGAGGAGAAGACTGCAAAAAAAGGAGAAAAGATAGGTGGGCTTTGGGAGCTAAGCAAACTGCCACTCAGTGGGGAAGGGAGGGTCGGGGCTCTGGGAGGAGGGGTTTGGCCCTTAAATCACAGAATCAGTCTGTGGACCCCAGGGGCCTTACCTTCTCTTTCTCTGGAAGAATAGGAATGGCCAGATGAGTGTTGCGAGGAGGAGATTCTGGGATGAAGTAAACAGGGAGACATGGGAGCGTTAGATGTGCTGGGAGTAGCAGGGGGCAGAGGTGCTGCCAACAGGGGCTAAGGGCCAACTCACTGGGCATCCTCGCCATCCAGCAGCCGGCGGTAGGTGGCGATCTCCTGCTCCAGCCGCGTCTTCACGTCCAACAAGATATTGTACTCCTGACTCTGCTGCTCCATCTCACAGCGCAGCTGAGCCAGCTGCTCCTCCACACCGCTGATCAGACCCTGGATCTGGGCCAGCTGCATGCAGTATCGGCCCTTGGTCTCTTCCAGGCTGCTCTCCAAGGACGCTTTCTGTGAGTGACGGAAAGGGGGAAAGGTTGGTGGTGATGACCAACTGTGTCTCTGCATTTCTGACTGGGCACATTTTTTGATAGACACAGGGATCTTGACCCCAGCTGGGGGAAATTGGAGAAATGTTTTCCCAACATTCTGGCTTTCATTTCTCCTTCTCTATAATGGATACCATGACACCACTTCCAGTCTCATGGAATGAAAAGTGGGACTGGATGGTGACCCTCTTGAGGGATGGTGACTAGGGGACCTCACTGGGGCAGGATTCTTCATACCATGCTGAGCTGGGACTGTAGTTCGATCTCCAGGCCCTGGAACACTCTGCGGAGCTCTGACACCTCACTGCGGCCACTCTGTATCAGCTCACTGTTAGAGGCCACTTCTTTGTTCAGCTCCTCAGTCTGAAACAGGAGAGAGGACAAGGTGTGAGTCTCTCCAAAGCCTCCCAGCCCAGGAGTCCAGGAGGAGTACGGGGGAGGTAAGTCCCACCTTGCTCAAGAACCAGGCCTCTGCATCCCTGCGGTTCTTCTCGGCCATCTGCTCATACTGGTCTCTCATCTCATTCAGGATGCGGCTCAGGTCCACGCCAGGGGCTGCATCCATCTCCACGTTGACATCCCCACCAGTCTGACCCCTCAAGGCAAGCATCTCCTAGGAAAGATCACAAGGAGGTGGTCATCTCTCCTGGGAACGTCACTAAACCAGCCTTTCTCCTCCAAAACCAGAAGCAGCCTCACCTCCTCATGGTTCTTCTTCAGGTAGGCCAGCTCCTCCTTGAGATTCTCAATCTGCATCTCCAGGTCGGCTCTGGCCAGGGTCAGCTCATCCAACACCCGGCGCAGGCCATTGACGTCGGCCTCCACGGTCTGACGCAGGGCCAGCTCATGCTCATACCTGGGAGAGAGATCAGAGCTGCAGATGGACAGCCCTATTCTTTTGTCCCTGCGCCCAACCCTCTGCCCTCTACCCTCTGCCCTCTGCCCTCTGCCCTCTGCCCTCTGCCCTCTGTCCTCTTCCCGGTGTGATGGCTGCTCACTTGGTCCTGAAGTCATCAGCTGCCAGCCTGGCATTGTCGATCTGCAAAATAGGCTGTGCATTCTCCAGAGTGGCCGCGATGATCTAGAATGGTAGTGAAAAGATAGGTGGTCTGATGAGCCAGCCAGGGACCCTCTGCTCAAGGCAGAAGGATAGAGGTGGGCAAAGCAGTCTCTCCAAATCCAGTGATCACATGGCTGGCAGGTCAGCTCCAACAGCTTCCCCAGACAACTGGCTACTCCGCCACCCACCTCAGGGTATGCATGCAGGGTGCACTTCTGTCTGTCACCACCCCTATCCTGGGCCCAGAGATAAGGAGCTGAGCTTCCACATGAAGTAGCCTCAAGAGCATTAAGAGTCAGAGTCCCTGTTCCAGCTAAGGCAGGGGTGTTCGAAAGGGACCCTCCACCACGTCTCTGGAACTCTGAACATGAGCCTCCAAAGGTCTTCAGTCTTCTTCCTTATATATCAGACTCTCTAGAAGTGGCTTCCTAAAAGCCACTGCAGCTCTGGCCTCTTACTTCATCCACCAGAGCCACCCACCTTGCTCTTCAGGTCCTCGATGGTCCTGAAGTAGGAGCTGTAGTCTTTGATCTCAGCGGGCCGCTGCCTCTGGTACCAGTCACGGATCTTCACCTCCAGGTCAGTGTTGGCCTGCTCCAGGGCGCGCACCTTGTCCAGGTAGCTGGCCAGGCGGTCGTTGAGGTTCTGCATGGTCACCTTCTCACTGCCCACCAGGAGTCCATCACCACCACCAAGGCCACCACCAAAGCCACCACCAAAACCACCACCAAAGCCACCACCAATGCCACAGCCAATGCCACCACCATATCCTCCAAAACTGCTGCTGCTGAAGCCCCCACCATAGCTGCTCCCCATGCCGCAGGCTCCCCCAGAGGAAAAGCGAGAGGAGCTGACTGACAGGCCCCCATAGGTGCTGGGAGCCCGGCAGGATCCTCCAGTCAGGACAGAGGAGATGCGGCTAGAACCGCCACCGATGCCACAGGAGCCCTTCATGGAGCTGGAGGAGGTGAACTGGCGGCTGCAGGTGGTCATGTTGTCGAGAGAGGTGAGAGCGTGAGCAAGTCAGCGAGCGAAGGGAAGAGAGAGCAGCTCAGGAAGGATGTGGATGCTGTGGGTGCCTCAGACACCAGGTTCCTTTATATGCATCTGGGGAAGGCGGGGCCCTCGACTGCTGACTCTAGGTTCCCCTCTGGATTTCGTCACTAAGTCCCGTCCAACTCCCCACTCTGGATTATTCAGCCCAGGGTGGACTCTCCCCTCCATGTGCTGGCTCAGAGTTCCCACCCAGTTCTGGGGGCGTGGAGCCGAGAGAAAAACACACAAATCAGAGTTAGCACTGAGTCAGGCTGGCCAGGAATCGGCTTCTGTTCCTGAAGCCTGAGGGGACAGCAACAGTGAGGCCTTGATGCCGGCAGCTCTGTGACAGCCGCGTCCTCAGGCAGTGAGTCAACCTCTCAAGCCTCCCTGCCCCACAGTGAGAACCTTAGGTGGCAGAAGCCCCATTGATACCCTCGCAGGCTGTCTTGGGGTGCCGTCATGGGATTCTCACAAGCCATGCTGTAGAGCTGGGCTGCTCACTGTGGAACCCAAAGCCCTTCACCTCCCCTCTCTGTGCCTGCTTTCCCTCCGCAGGGACGTGTCTGGGCCGAGTAGCTGCAGTCCTTTCAAGTTCTAAAAAATCAAAGGATTCCCTTTCCTATGGGATCTAACTTGGATTTGGAGGCTGCCTTTGAGACGCCAGGATGTTCACAGTGGCGTACACAACAACCATATCCTATGCAGCCACACACCTGACCTGCCTCACTCACTGACCAGTACAGGAGGATTTTGTCACCCCTCTGGGCCTGCAGGATATATAACAGTCACGAAGAAGCATGCCTGAAGGACCCTACCCCAGTGGCCAGCCTCTTCAACCTTCTTTTGCAGGCTAGCTGCCTTTCACACCCGCCTCCATAATCCTGGCCCCTAACATGAGGCTCTGCACCTAAAGAGCATTCATTCCAGTGCACAGCTCCTCCATCCCACCTCCGGCCTCACCTACTCGGGGCCTGCCTCTGTTGTCTGTAGTGGACTGCAGTGGGGGGAAACTCCATCCTGCTCCTAATACTGTTGGTGTGTCCCCACCCCCACCTCCACTCCACCCACCAGGGGCCTCAGAGTCCCCATGTGGAAACCATCTTGCCCAGGGGCTGATCTGCAGCTTTTTGGTGGCCATGGTTCCAGGCTAGGCTTGGTGGCTTTGTTCACCCAGTGTGCACAGGGCTGTCTTGCTCCTTGTAGTGCTCAGGGTTACTGTCACACCTGCTACGCAGTGCCGAGAGACAGGCCCGAGGTGGTATCATCCCCATTTCCAGTCTACAGATGAAGGCTTGAGAGCACAGGGACTCGGGGGAGGGAGGGGCAGGGGGGCTCCCAGAACATCAGCCCCTGAAGACTCCCCATCATCCGAGCCTCTCTCTTTGCACCTCTCAATACTCATCTTTTTATTGATCTCTGAATTAACCTTGTGGGTGAGAAGGACTATGGAGGAGCAAGAAAGGTGGAAGTCAGCCATTGCCACTACTAGGCTTGTAGCCACAAAGCCGGAACTCTAAGGCTCCCACGAACCTTGCAGGCAGGGGGCAAGTGAGTCCAATGCTCACCTACCTCCCCATAGTGTTTAGTAGGAGTTCTAGCCACAGTGGACACAGTCTTGGCCTGAAAAGAAGGATGGAGTCTGGACCCAGAGACAGTCTTCTGGATGCCATGGGGCAACGCCCACAGCACTGGACCCTGTGCTTGCCCTGCCATTCCTCTTGAAGTGACAGAAGCCCAAAGAGTCTTGCCTGAGGCTGAGGTCTTTTTAGGGCAGGAAGTTTTGTTTTTTACACCACAACTCACTGTGGCCTGTTGGCCACTCCAACCAGAGGTTAAAATACTCTGCAGAGGCCTCCCATCTTCTCTAGTCTTGACCCCAGCAGTAGTCTCCAGTGTTGGGCTTCAGAGAGAGAAGAATTCAAATGGGATATTAGTAGATTAAGCAGCAACGAACTTAATCAGAGCAAGTAAGGAAGAAAGAACACACACTTTAGACCAGACAGGTGTGAGCTGAGCAGCAGCGGCCTCCACACTAGCAGGCATGGAACTTATATTTTCTCATCCACACTATCACCAGCCATGTGCCTCTACCAGGGTGAACACTTACAGAAAAGGGTATGCTTTTCTTAGAAGCCCACTTTGTCCAGAATTTAGTCTATGTATAATATGTAAAAATATACTCTAGGGTTTAAGCACTCCTAAAGTGAAAAGTTTATTAAGGTAAAGAGCAACAGAGCTCAGCACACGCTCTCCTGGAAACCAACCCTTGAAGTTGTTCTAATATAATCTAACTGGCAGGGCTCACTATCACCCATTATCTCAGATCTGTTTGGGGGCCCCTGAGCTAGCCCATCTGGAGTCAACCACCACCATTATGTATACACCCAGTTTCAGGGCCTTGGGCTGGCCCACACGTGTTCCTTCTGTTCTCTCTTTGGGAAGCCTGTTTGGTCGGACCCTTCTGGATCAAGCTTCTGTCTAGTAAGAGCAAAGCTAAAACATCTGTTTGGAGGAGCAGACCTGGAAGGGGGAACCCAGTACTACTCACCCAAGCCCAAATTTTGTTAAAAGGATCTCAAAATCTTGTGGGAACCAGTCTGTTGATATCTGGAAGGGCCTGGAATTCATGTCCAACCACAGACCCATCTCCCTTAAGATTGGAACTGGGCATCATGGTCACCAAAGACCACCAAGCCCCAGCTACAGAAGGTGAAATGTTTGCCCAAGGTTTAGCAGCATGGAAGATGAAAGATTCAAACCCAGCGCCAACTGCCGATCTAAGGTTCATACCAACTCTCTATAGACAGACAGACAGACAGACAGACAGACAGACAGACAGACAGACAGACAGACAGACAGATCACAGAGTCAGGAGCACAGCACTCTTATGGTATAAGTCCTTGACTCCCAGACCATATCCACCACAGGAGACGTCTGGAGAAGTGTGACCCCCCCCCACTGTGGGGCTCAACTGTAAAGGAAGAGGCTTCCCTGTTGTTCCTGACCCTCTGGAGGGTCTTGGCAGGGCAAAGTTGTGACTGGACCCCAGGTGGTCACAGATAGCAGAGGAGTGGGGGACACTTCCTCTGGGCTACTGAGGCACATTAATCCCGAAGTTGTCAGAAGCAGGACTATTAAGCTACAGGTAACAGGCACTAAGTCTGGTCAAGCTGGTGTCCCTCCAGGCAAGGAACTCTCCCCCATCTCTGCCCTTCACCCCACCCCTTCTCAGGTATGAGGTCATGTCACACTTGAATTGTCCAGGAAACATCATTGGCCAATGCCACACCTCAACTCACAGCGGTTCCCAAACCCGACAGATCATCAGACTCTCTACACAGACTCCTTGCCTGCCCCAACCCCTACTTGAGCATTGCCCAGGACAAGCCTGGTCTTGGGGCTCTTTTACAAGCTCCCCAAGGGATTCCCAGGCTAGAGAAGGAGGAGGTGTGAGATGAGGGGGTCTAGGGAGCCTGATAAGACAGGGGACAATTGCAGGCCCTGGTGGAAATGTGGTGAGCCACAACAGAGCAGCCAAGAGTTGGGGCAAGCTACCTCGGTTTTCCTCTCTGGGATATGGGAATCACACCGCTGTCTCACACACATGTCAGAGTGAAGACGAAGTAAAACAAGTAGACTGCTAAGCACTGCTGCAGTTATTTAATATGGTCTATAAAACACCCACTGTGTGCCGAGCACTGACTCGAAAAACAAGACAGAGAAGCCTTCCAAATGTACAGGCTGGTGAGAAAATTTGGTAAAGATAGGTCTAGTGCTGTGTGTTTGGGTCTTAGTGCTACACAATCATGAAAGGAGACAGAGCAAGGTCCTTGGGGATGGACAAATGTCCACTCCAGACCCTGGTTCTGTGACTGGTCCTGGGTCAGAAGGAATTTCCATGGGCCATGCCCTCTCTCTACTCCTCCCCCTCCTGCATGGCTGATACCCACTGCTGAGAACAAGACTGCTAAAGGCCCTCACACCAGTCACCAACAATGAGCCCTTCAGGGAGCCTAAGGCTCTATCTATCCAGGATGTGGCCTAGGACAGAGCCACCCTGGTTCTGGTAACTCTGACCCCCTCAACTCCTCATGAGACCCACACTGCATGAGGGTTGAGTGTATTGTCAGGCCCACCCCTGTACCCTGCTCAGTAGTCCACTAGAAAGAGCACCTCTGAAGCCTCCTGAGTCCTCACAGACCAGACAGTGTTCCTTCTTCCCCTAGGCACACGCTCTTCTGTGAACACTACATCCATCTCTCTGCAGAAACCTAGCAGGAGTTAGTGTGGTGGGAGAAGAGGCTCAGGCCTGGCTACCCGTGACATGGGACTGTCTATCACAGGAAAGGGGAGCCGGGAGCAGTCACTTGCCTGTAGCGTCCACTAGAATGGTAGGACCTGGAGGTGTGGGCAGACTTGGTATGGACAGTGAACCCTCCATGGAGGCTCACCACTCGGCCCCCAACCCAGGCTCTGGCACTCATCCCCAGTAACCTCAACCTGTCTGAGATGCCCAGGGACAGAGCCACTAAAGTTCTTTACACAGATCCCTAGCGAACCACTCAGTGTGGCCATCTGACCTCATGTTGTAGGCACGGCTGTTCCATGGGGGTCCCCCACACACACAGAACACACCACCTGCCTGCTCAGTCAGAGGAGGACCACAGTCCAGGACTGTCTGCAGTCCTCCCCTCACTGACTCCTCCTCATTCCTGTGAGAGCGAATCCCCAGTCTCCAGACGGTGAAAGCCCTTCCTGCTTCACAGCTGAGGGAAGAGAGGAGGTGGAGCCATGTCCGCTTCCCAGAACAGAGCCATGTCCTCTTTTTGTCCTCTCCTGATTACTCAGACTTCAAGAAGACACCTGAGTCATAGCTTGTCAGAGCCTCAGTGGCCCTATCCACACAATGGGGCACCTCTCCCCAGAGTCTCCCTGCTTCCTGGGACTGTGGTTCAGAT